TTTAAGCCCTGTGGGAGTTTCCCTCCAAAGTGGGACAAAGGACCCCTTGATGATCCTCTACCTAAACACATGAGCCAAGGCATAAAAACGGGTTTAGGTCACTATCAGCCAAGGTTTCGGATAAACAGGCTGTAAAACCTGGCCCCACCCTATCATGTGATTTCCTGAGGTCAAATGGCCCAGGATATGAGTGGGCATTAAGGCATCTGGGAAGGGTCTCAGAGCTGGATTATAGAAGGCAGAAAGTTGGTGTCGTAAACCACCGCCTTGGTTCAAAGATGGTCGCTCACAGTGGACATAGATGGCTTCCTTCACTCCTCTTTCAAACCATCTGTCCTCTCTGTCCAAAATGTGAACATTGGCATCCTAAAAAGAGTGACCTTTGTCCTTTAGATGCAGATGGACTGCTGAGTCTTGTCCCGTGGAGGTGGTGCTTCTATGCTGTGCCATGCGTTTATGAAGTGGCTGTTTGGTTTCTCCAATGTAGAGGTCTGGGCATTCCTCGCTACACTGTACAGCATGTACTACATTGTTAAGTTTTACAGTGTTTTGGAGTTTTGTCTTTGGGATGAACCTGGAGAAGTTTCTTGGATGAGAGGTGAAAGAAGTCCAGACACTTTTCTTTCCAAGCTCCTTAGACTACGATGACCTGGTTGACTGAGAACCTTCACAGACAGAGTTGACTGGTGAGCCTACAAAACAAAATTTTATATAGGAACAAACCAAAGGAACGAACACAGCAACTTTTGGTTAAAAAGTTTTTTCCATTACAAACTACATGCCCGGTTTCCAAATAATAGCTATTTTAAAGTGAAATATTTAATGTTGATCACAATACAAGCAGTCAAGCACAAACCTTGTTTTTAAGTATTCCATTGGGTCCAATAACCTTTTCAAAGAGATGCTTTCCTACGTGAGAGTCCACGGCAGACAAAGGGTCATCTAATAGATAGATATCAGCCTGACTGTAGGTCGCTCTGGCTAAACTCACACGTTGCTTCTGACCCCCTGAGAGGTTGATACCCTGAGAAGAGAAGAAAGGAGGGGAAAAGAAAAGCAGAGGCAAAAATAGGTTAAAAAAAACCCCACACAGAGCTTCTTTTAAATGCAAAGAAGCTTTTCCTTCAGCACAAGAACAACATTTCAATATAGCATTAACCCTGTAATGCCAAGTGCATCATATTTGATACATGAGTTTTTCAGACATCTACATTGTAAATGTGATTTTTTTTTATTTCTGAAAATATCACCAATAAATATTTTACAAACAATAAAAACCATATACATAATCTTTATAAAGAAAAAAATAGTTGTGTAACCTAAAACTTGAATAATTCAAAGTGCAACTCACCTTCTCTCCAATCTCAGTGAGGTCTCCTCCAGGCAGCAGCTCAAGGTCTGGGGCAAGAGCACAGGCCTGTATAACTTTTTTGAACCTCTCTTCCTCATGTGGAGATCCAAACAAGATATTATCCTTCAAAGTGGCATTTTGAATCCAGGCTTGCTGTGGCACAAAAGCAAGAGAACCCTGGAAAGAAATACAGTGAAACTCATTTGCTGATGTCTAACCAACCTTTTATTTTGCCATAGAAATTTTGGCATTCATGCAGTTTTTCATCCAGAACAAATGTTACACTGGCTAGGAGGAAATAATACCTGAACTAAAGATACTTGTGTAAGAAGGAGACATACAAGGAACTGTTATTACATTTCTCAACCTTTTAAAGATTTAAAAACACCCTAAGAACTGATGGTTTAGAACACAAGTTTCATTGAAATCTTAGGGTCTGTACATTTTAATAATGTATGTTCTGCCTTTTTTTTTTTTTAAATATCTTTGCTCTCTTCAATAAAGTCTTTTGCTCTTTATTGTATTCTGTTTCCAGTTGACTTTACTGACTTCTGTTTATGGCAATTCCATACTTTTACTCATCAAATAAACCCAGAAAATCATTGATCAAGAATAATGTTCTTTACATTTAAAAAACAAATAAAAACTTTAAATAAACAATAATAATCTCCCGATGAAATCAGTTTTGAGGAGAAATAAGAAAAGGCTCTTCATTTGATACACTAAAGAAAATAATTGAAATAAAAGATTTTTTTTTTAACGCACACTGTCAGATACAAACGGGGAAAAAAAGCCATTACCCTAATGTTGATAAAACCTTTGGTACTGTGCATCTCTCCAAGGAGGGCTGACATAAGAGACGACTTTCCTGACCCAACAGCTCCCACTACGGCAACCAACCGACCAGGCTCAATGTCCAAATTCACACTGGACACACATAATAAATATGGTCATTACTGTAAAAACAGTAGGAAAAATACAACTGTGTTTCATAAATGTGTGGAACATAGTGTACCATTTGGATAAAAAAAGCACGCAGTGATTTGCAAATCATTTAAACCCTACGTTTAATTTAAACTAGGACACAGATGATGTTTCATATGTTGAAAACGAAAATTTGTGTGAACTTTTAAACATATCCTGAGTTTGAATTTAGCCAGACAGGAAAAACTTTTAAAAAGTGCCTGAAGCAACATCTCACAGTTAATTAAGTTAACTAGTAAATTGTGATGACCAACACAGACATACTCTTTCAGCAGAGGCTTTGCATCTTTTTCCCAAGCAAAGGAACCATCACATACGCTCACAGCAGTATCTAAAAAATGAACACAGACCAAGACAGAGCTTAACAGATGATCCGCACACATAAAAACTGTGACTAAGCTTCAATCTTCAGCTGTAGAACAAGTGCAAATTCTAATGGTGAACATACTGAAACTGGGGTCTTGGCGCACAATGTCACTGTCGATGTCTTCCCCTGCCAGAAACTTCTCCAGGCGCTTCTTAGACACTGCTGTCTGAAAATTCAAAGAACAGGTTAAGTTTGATGTTATCACAGGCTTGATACATGTGCCTCATCTAGCTCTGTTCACTTACTTGCACAATGGAAGCAATGAGCATGGGCAGCATGGCAAGAGGAAATCGGAGGATGTTGAAGAGAGAGATGGAAGTAAAAGCTTTCTCAGCAGTTAACACATTATCCTTGCTCACACTAACAAATACTGCAAACGTGGCCAGAGAAACCTGCAAGTACAGACAGTTTAAGAAAAAAGGTTGTTTACCATTGGAATCTAGTCTCTACAATGACATCCCTTCACAGAACTCACCAGAGCTGGAGCAGAGGTGAAGATAAAGGTAGACACGGCTGTCAGGTAGGCAAACTTCTTCATGACTTTTAGTTCTTCCCCTCTAATGTCTTCCACCTGCTTCTGGAAGGATGGCTCCCAAGCATACAGCTTCAGAATCTGGTGGGAGACAAAAGAAAAAGACAGTGAGGAGGCAGTGAGGCAGAAGGAAGCACTTATGGTCCAAGTTACTGAATGCAGTTTCATGAAGCATCAAAGCCTTACATGTAAGGAAGGCATCTACATACACCATAGATACACTGAATAAGGGAGCTCACCTTGACCCCGTTTAGAAGTTCATTCATGATTTTCATTCTCTCATCTTTAAACTTCATGTTCTCTACCTGAAAAGAGACACAATGTAGCTCTTTAAACAAGCAATACAGAAAATTAACATTAATAATGCAGACTTTCAGCCTTGATTAAAACATTAAACAAATTAATCATTAAGTGTTTGGAAATTAAAGCCATTGATATTTATTGTAACTCAAAGTAAACACAATTTGAAATATAAGGACTGTTTTAAATAAATGGACAATCATTTCTTTAGTCCACGGACGCTAAAGTCTATAACCCATGGACATCACCAAATGCTTTATTTCCACCCTTGAGATTGTCTGCCAGGCCACGCCTGAGCCATCTTCAGTTTCTCACTGTTTGTGACTCTTTCTGCCTTCAGTAGGTGAATAGCATGTTCTATAGGGCTGACAGCAGTTGACTAACTCAGCCATTGAAGAATATCCCATTACTTTGTCTTTAGAAATTCTTGATATGCTTTGGATTATTACCCATTTGAACTGAACCAGTGTCAGTCATTCGGTTTCTGAGCATTTAGCACTTAGAATAGCCCTGTATACCTAACAGTTCATCACGCTACTTTCATGACCATTCACATCATCGATAAACAGTAGCAATCCAGTCCCACTGGCAGCTATGCATGCCTATGCCATTGTCTCCATCATGTTTGGCTGATTTCTGTTTCTCTACTTCTTCATTTGATTTGCCGTTTTTTGTAAACCCTCTTAACGCTAGACTCTAAGTGACGTTTTTTTCCTACCCAAGGAAAAACAAATGAAGTTCATATGGAAGTTTATTAAGGAACATTTTTAGTCACACGTCTATCTGCTTCCCAGGTGTTTGGTGGCTAATCAAAGCTTTACATCACTTCTACTTTCTCACACTGTCCAGCTCATTGCTGACATCACTGGTCTAATCCAATCATCTTTCAACACCTCTATTACTTGGGTTCCATCCAAGCCTCCATCTTCATCTCTACCAACAGCTTCTAGACCCCGGTGGGTCCTGCCCTAATTCCTATTACCACTGGGTTTCCGTTCTTCTGTGATGGACTCTCAGATTCTAATCGCTGAATAGCTTAATGATATCCTATATATCAATGAATCATGTTGAGTTCCTTCCAATGAGCTCTGCTTATTGGAGTATCATTTTGATACTACTATACTTACTTTGGGCCTCTAAAAAAATGGGGACTGAAAAAAAGATTCTTGTAATGCATGCAATAATTTTGTTAAGCCTCTTGACTTAAACCTGAAAGTCAAACCTACAAAAATGTGTGTCATTGTTCAGACACCTATTGATTGTACACAGAAATGATTTGGCAGCTCTGCTAACCTGGAGTTTTCTGGCCTTGGTTGCCAGAAATCCATTGATTGGAACCATTAACACCATGACTCCCAGTCCTGCCAACACAGAAGGCCCTAACTCCAGCCACAGGAAAACAATGGATATGATGATCTGCAGAGGGCAGGACCACAGCAGGTGGATAAAGTTGGTCACATCATTGAAGCGCTGGGCATCTGCTGACATCAGGTTCACCGTTTCCCCTACTGTTGACTCCTTACGAGTGTCATTGGACACCACTAATGCCTTAGAAAAGGAATTAAAAAAAGCATATCAGCCAAAAAGTGGCAGGTACATGAAGTTTTTGGCAATGGTAGAATGAGTATTTTCTTCATTTCCTGGTATTAATATACCAATGAAAAATTGCAAGAAAAATGTAATAAAATATAAATATATATATTAAATATATATTCTAATTGCATCATAATTCGTCACAATTAAGGTGAGGGTTGTTGCCAAAAATGATTTTTGAACTCGTAGAGTTAATCAATCAGATCATTAGTGAAAGTATTACTGGCAGAGCAGACAGATTTATCCTGTAAGTGATAAGTATGTACTCGTGCTGATGAAAGCGATTTTTAACTAAAGCATCTGACTATTAACTTAAGCAGAAAGCAATGACTGGTAATTTATGACTTCTGATATGTTAAAGTAATTTATATTACGTAGTCTTTGATTTTTTTTACACCAAAGTCAAACAAAAGTCATTCTATCAATCCCGTTTGTTTTACCTTTTTGTACACAGCAGCCATAAGTGCAGTGCGAACCCTCATGCCCAACACAAAGCAGCGCTGGAAATACTGTTGCAGGGTCAGAGACTGCAGCAGAGCCACCACCATCAGCAACACTGCATACAAATAGCCCTCCCAGGCATATCTGGATTTGTCCTGAGTGAACGAGATCATCAATCTAGGGGGAAAAAAGAAAACGTATGGATATAGCATCTCAACACTTTCTACTATGTGTCCTTCACTTTTTTCCTGCTTCCTTTTTAACACTTATTTAGCAATTTTCTCTTTCCATTCAGGCACTCCTGTTATCAGTTGTTTAAACTGATCAATAAATAGTGAATAGTTAACCCAAAGGCTTTGACAATGTTGATTTTAAAAACCTTCAAGGACAGCTAAATGGATTTTTTAAAATGTTTACATGGGCAACAGAAGCAACACTGTTCTTATGTGTTTCTGTACTTTTGATTCTGTAATATTTTGCAATACGTTACTCACTTAAGGAGCTGAGGACTGACAAAGGTTAGCACATCTTGCAGAAGTTTGAAGAAGGCAGATTCGATCAGAATCCATTTAAAGGTCTTGTAAAGGGTGGCAATGAGCCATGAATTGGGATAGTTCTCTTCCTCCTTCTTTTTGTCCTTTTTCTTTTTCTTCTTTTCATCTTCCTTCTTCCCCCTTTCCTCCTAAAGGAACAAATTGTTTAAGCACAGTTGATGAGATTTATTCAGAAAAAAAACATAGTGATGTTGATTAGTGGTGTTAATGAAATGTGTTTGGACTGTAGCTCAATATAGTGTACATGTGAGTGGAAGTGATTTTGATTAAATGCTCTCACCATCATTAGTACATCCTGACTGACTCCTTTCCCCAGACCACTGGAAAGCCCATTTTGCTGTGGGTCTTCCTGGGCACTGTCTCTGGTTTTAGCTGATTTGTTTTTCATCTTGTTCTGGAAGCGGACCCTAGCTGCATCCAACTCAGGCTTCATGAAATGCTGGAAACGCTCATTGATGAAAGCAGTGCTATCACTCTCATTCAGATCCCACATGTCCTCCTGAACCAGAGGTTGTTTGTAGCCTTTTAAGACCATACTGTAAAAACAATGAGAACTTTGAAGACATGGAGCACATATGTAGGTGCTTGTTAAGATTCCGACTATAGTGACCTTAATGTTACCTGTTTAACCAGTTGAATGTGATTCTGCTCAAAAATGCTGCACCTGCTTCAGGATTCTGTGGATAAAAAAAAGCGCAATATCATATCATATATCATATCATATTTAACCTCCTAGGGCCTGGCTTCCACATATGTGGACATCACATTTTGGGTTGTCTAGACCAAAATACTAAATTTTGCTCTCAGAAACCAAGTTAAAAAAAATCTGGTAATTCTTTGTTTTTACATTCATCAGGTCCCAATCAGCCCAAATAGCAAAGAACGACTGAAAATGTGTGCCATGAAAGAGTTCAGGTCTTAGGACGTTAATATATGCTTATGAACTTAATCCTCTGAAAACAAACAAACAAAAATGAACAACTAATAAAGGGTACCTTTTTTATAAAGTCTTTAGCTTCTGGGGGAATATCAGCCACAGTAGAAAGAACTAATGAAATCAGTTCAAGCCCAAAAGAAATGTAGAAAAGGCTGAAACGTGGGACATCACGGACCTCGCCCTAAATACCAAAAATGAGAGAAAGAAAAACTTTAAAGGGTCCCGAAGAAAAATGAAAATGGTGTGTTATGCAACACATGGAGAGCTAAAAGTCAATCATATCAAGTTATTGCACCATGTCTGAGTAAATCTACTATTTGTCTTCTACTTTAATCCAACTTGATTACATGTCTTCACTCATACCA